AGATAATAATAATATTATATATATATAATACACACTTGTATTATTGTAGGTAGAAAATTGGCAATTTTCGAATATGATTCGTATAATTTGTCGAGATTCATGATATACGATGTGGAGAAGAAAAAGTCATTATGGAAACTTTTGTTTTATAACAGTACGAGGCCTGAAGAGAATCCTTGCATCTGCTGGTCTCTTCACGACCGTCACATCGTCGTGTAAATATTCCCGACAATTTTGTTTTTCATCATTTCTTTTTCTCAAAATTCAAATCACAATACAGTGAAATTACGTAATAACAATAATAAGATAATGTGTCTGAAAATATGATAAAGAAGAATTTTGAAACAAAACATAATGAAAATATTTTACGTAGCGCTTACGAGAACTTGATAGTATACGAATCCAGTACGGGTAGGAAGCTTCGCTATATTTCCGCTTGTGCAGATGATATCTTGACCCTGAGTTTTTCGCCAAATTTCAAATATCTCATGTCAACTTCGAGGAACGGAAGCGTTCAAGTGTACTTCTGGCCGGAACTAACCATTCATTTGATTATTTCGTGTCATCACTCCGTACAGGTAGACGATTTTTTTAAATCTTTCAAACGTTATAACTCAAAGCTCTCTGTGTCCTCAATCATCATTGATATTGAAGATACTCGCGGACGTGTTTTTACGAAAAAAAAAATAAAATAAAGCATCTATACATGATAAAAAAATGAGGAAAAAAGTAAAAAGCATCCTTACTTGACCAGGCGGTCGCTTGGCATCCGCAAGTGTCCGATCTGGTTTGTTTAGGGAAATCGAACGGGGTATTGACATTGTGGGACGTCAATACGAGAACCATGACGGGATCCGCGCGCCCTAAATTAAATGGTTGCGTGGAAAATCTCGCTTGGAACAAACTGAGCGGGGAGTTGCTCGTCCATTGGACTTACAGAGAGAGAGACAAACGATACACCATCGTTACGGTGCTCGCGAGTTTCGATCGGGCCGTCGATGTGATGCCGATAGACCGCGAAACGAAAATCTCCTTTTTGAAATTTAACTCCACGCACAAAGAAATAAGTATGTAACTTTTTTTTTTTGCGGTGGTAATTAATCTTCCTAAGCTGGTTCGTGTCGCAGCTAATAAATTTCGCGGCTGAAATAAATAAAAAATAAAGTAGAAAATTAACAAATATTGAGAATGGAAACTATTTTCTATTTTAATTATATTAATAACCGTTAAATGTCGAAATGGATCTGAAACGACCGAATAGTTCAGGAAGATTAATTTAGATTCACAAAGAAGTCAAGATTTTTTAGTTTTTATTTTTTTTATATTATTTAAGTTCGAACATCGGGTATTTGTTACAGTAACGTATTCCGACGATTTCTTTTCGATATGGAATTTTTTCGGCAATGAAAAACCGCCTCAGAGCCGATATTCATCTTTCAACGGCTCGAAACGGCGCAGACAAGGAGTTATTATTCACAATCAAATCAGGTAATTTATACGTGGCATGCAAGCAAGTGTTATCGACTTATCTTGCGTAAGGTCGATATGAAAGGTTTTACAACAAGCAGCTCGAAACATTACCAACTTTTCTTGTTATCATTACGCTTGATAGCGTACGACAATGTGAATCACCCTTGGGTTTTGGCACAGAGCGTTTTTTGAGCTGTCACATCGAACAAACTTGTACATACTCGTGTATATACAGAACATACATATCTCAAGTGAGTAGAATGTTCTTTGATAAACTTCTTGGTTAATTTACTCGATAATACCTGCGAAGTTTGTTTAAACTCTGGAAGCTGAAAGTAATAAAGTACAGTATAATAAAGCTAATTTCTCTGAAGAGAGATTAGATCCGTACTATAGGAATCTCGCGCATATAAAATATATATTATTTCTAGAATTATATTTTATCTTTAAAATAAATTTGTATATAAATATGTTATTTTCATATATAAAAAAAAATTACTATTTGTAGAAATTAAAAATGATAAATACTATTATAAATTATTATATGTAACATAGATATGATGTTTGCACAATTTTTAGTTTGTTGTTTACAACTAATTCATGTAATATGTTGATCTATGTATATCATGCGTTTTTTTATTTCTAATAATGTTTTTAGTAATAACGCGCGTTTCTTTTATATGTACATTATAATTAAAACTTATATGTGCAAATACTACTATGTTGTTATAAAATTTAAATATAATATGTTTATTTGATATTTTGAAAATAATTTCTGAACTATTATAACTCTTCGAACTTTTAACTACGTGTGTGCGCTCGCGTGCTTTATCTCTCTCTCTCAGCTATAAAAAATATACTTTCAAAATTCTACGAAGAGTATATGCAAGAAAAATCAACAAATTATTATTTAAATTAAAAAAAAAAAAACAAACAAACAATTTGCGGTTGTCTTAAATTTTTTTCATATCTTCAGTTGTATACGATCATAAATTTTTAAGACACACACGTGTACATGAGGCGCGTCAATAATAACACGCGAGCGCTGCTCTATTGCCAATAATACTGCTCCTACAGCTCGTTCTAACCACCCACACGCGAACACGCTGACACACGCGGGATACGCGACACGCCACGAGAGAAAACACGCGCGATTTCGCAACGCGCGAAGAATGCCGCGGCGAGTGCGCAGCCTGCGCGTCG